CCCCAAAACCCCAAAACCCCAAAACCCCAAAACCCCAAAGCACCTTATAAATTGACTCTATTTGAATTTTTATTATAAAATATAAATGTGGAAAAACAACGCAGAAGACAATTACGGCAGAAGAGAAAGAGGCAGAGATAGAGACTCTTATAGAAGCAGAAGAGAAGATGACAAGTCTTATAATAATCCTCATGGTAGGCGTGACGATAGGGACAGATATGGTAAGCGTCATTTCAGTCTCCTACACTCAAAGCCCCAGCTTCGGATCTAGAATCTGGCATATCTTAGCACGCTTTTGGCCTAAATTTTACCTCTTTTTCATAATCTAGCGTTTAAAATTTTCATTGCATGAATAAAATGTTTGATCTTTTTGTTCCAGAAGCTACCGTTTGGCTTGTTCAGTTTTTAAAGCCTGGAAATTACTAAACGGAAATCTGAAGTTAAATTTTGGTTCCAAAACTTTGTAGTAGGCAAAAATAAGCTCTTAGGGGTGAAAACTGGGTTTTAATAGACTTTAGACCGCAGAGATGATAGGAGAGATGACAGGAGAGATGATAGAAGAGATGACTATGACAGACAGAGAGTCAGAAGATCCAGATTTAGTAGCAAGCCTGCGGAGGGAGATCAAGGAATACCAACAGATGGAGATGATAGAAGAAGGAAGAGAAGTAAATGGGCAGATGCAGCTGATGTCAACCAAGAAAAGGAATCTGCTGGTGGAACTCTCCAAGATAGAATTAGAAACGCTAATCCTGCGCTGAGTTTCAACTCAGCCATCGGGTCAGCAAGCATGGACTGCTCACAGATCAGGAAGAAGCTTTATCTCCCTCAAGACGGAGTAAACTATATTGGGCTCCTTATTGGGCCAAAAGGAATGTTTCAGAAGAAACTTGAAGGTGAATCTGGATGTAAAATTCTTATTAGAGGCAAAGGATCTCAAAAAGAGGGGCAACCTCCCCAACCCGATGAAAATGATGAACAGCACGTCTTAATTATGGGAGACACTGAAGATTCCGTTGCTAGAGCAGAGGCAGCTTGACAGAAAATTATTATGGCAGATGAAGAGACAAGAAATATGATCAGGAAAGAGCAGCTTAAAGTTGCTGCTGAATTAAACAACAATACCTTTACTACTTCTACAGATAATAAAGTTGTTGACGAATCTATGCTTACTCCTTATGGTCCTCCTAGTCCTTACGCTTATATAGTTCCAGTGCCTAATGACTGTATAGGATTAATTATTGGCAAAAAGGGAGAAACAATTAAAAGACTTCAAGCTGACAGTGGAGCTAAAATCCAAGTCGCTAAGAAAGAAGTCGCTGAAACTAATCAAAGATATGTTTTTGTAGAAGGCACAGATGAAAAGTATAACCTAGCCAAGAGATTAATTGATGAAGTTGTAGAGGAATGGAGAAGAATTCATCAGAGAAATGACAGCCAAGGTGGTTTTGGGGATCCTAATCTTTATCCAATGACTAGTAATTTAGTTGGTCCTGTCCAAGATGATGGTATTCTTGATCGTAACATCAATAACATTAACCATAACACTTATAATCAAATATATCCAGCTAATGGAGTAGAAAACACCACAGATCCTTCGTTCCAAGCTGCTTTAAGCTATCAACCATATCCAGGCTTCAGACATCCTGGGGATGGTAACCCAGAACCAACCTCTTCAGCTCAAGCCCAAGAAGCTTACGGGCCTTATGCTGATCCAGCTTTGAACCCAATGGGATACTCAGGATACCACTCAGGACATCACCATCCTAGCCATTATCCAGAAAATCAGCCTCATCCATCAAGACCATCTCATTCAGGAAAGCCATCAGACCAAAAGAGCCAGGAAGAAAGTTCTAAAGCTCCTGAAGAGACTTCAGGAGCTGGTTCTAACCCAGCTAACCCTCATAGCACAGGTGGGGATGGCAAGGATCCCCAGGCTCATCAGTATGCTGAGCATTACTCCAAAACACTAGGAGGAGATTACAAGTACTACTATGATTACTACATGTCAACTTATTCTGGACAGAAGAATGCCCATTCCAACAGTGATAAGAAGTAAGTATTGGCACTAAAGATTCAATGTTGACTAAAAATTAGGGGTTTTGGGGTTTTGGGGTTTTGGGGTTTTGGGG